TTTATCAAAAGGTTTTAATTATCCCAACATGTGTTGCTTTCATTTTGTCTTCATCCTCTTCACTAGTGAACAACTGTTAAAATAATTTTATGTTCACAAATTTTGTCGACTACAGTAAACAGTTTAGTAGACATTTACGTAAGAGAATTGCACTTAAAGATAGAATAGACAAGAATTTAGTTGTAGAGCAAAATACAAAAGCAAATGCAACAAAACAATCCAAAGGATTACATAATTCCAGTTTAATTGTCGCCTGTATTAACTAATTTTAAAGGATTATAGTCACATTAGAGAAGTAGACTTGATATTTCAAGATTGACGAAAGAAATCTTGGTCTAAATTTCTCGGATTTTGCCATTCGTAAATGAAAAGTGTCCATCCCTGGCAGATGCATGTTGGTAGGCACAACTCTAATGTCGATTACCTTTTAAAAATTGACATCTGACATGAAATAATTTCACACTGACAGAGGTATAGTGTCACAGCTGATAGTCAGACATCTAACGAGATAATTAGGACTCGATAGCTACATTAGTCATCAAAGGACAAGTAATTATTAGATGCCAGTTTCTCCAACCTGAATAACTACTCATAAATGATTGCAAGATCGATATGAACATATCAACTTCAGGTGTTCAGTAATCTTCAGCTTCGAGGAATTAGATGTAAGGGGAGTACTGGACCTGCGTTTCATCCTAATTTGGGACTCTCTTCAACAGTACGTCCACTTATCTGGAGTTCGAACCCACGACCTACTGATTACAAGGCGAGCTCGTAGATCATTCAGCCACTGGGACCCAATCCAATAATCTGTGAACTCTAACTTCTGTCAATTTACTATTTTTACCGTGATCACCAATCAGTGTCATCAACAAATATCTGTCCTTACACGCGACCTGGTGAACACCACTAGTCACGACATCCCACTAGGACTCCAGGTGACTTCCTGTGTAGATCAATTCGGTATTGAACATCATATCAGTTGTCAAGTGATGGTTTGCTTAAAAGCCAACAGAAAGTTGAATACCATCAGTATCACATGGATTTTGTGACTAAGGCGTGAACAATCAGGAACAAATATACTGAACATGTCTCCTTTGAACGATCCATTGTCCAAATGGGCTATCACTTAAATGAGTTAAATATGTGACAGAGATACGACTCTAGTACTTATTATTTTAAACTGAATAATGCTGATAGGAGGTGTTAATATCTTTTGCAGCAAAGAGTATGATACCGTAGAGTTTAGAGCATTGACTTACAGTTTTGGAAATCAGTAATAGTTAGAGAGCCATTGAGAATTAGACAGTACTGAACAGATGTTTCATCCTCCCTCTCTGGGACTCATTAGTAATACGCGCTCACAGGAGTTCGAACCCAAGACCTTCCGGTTACAAGTCAAGCTCGCTTACCATTCAGCCACTGGGACTCGACTTAGTAGTCAGTTCATGAATTATAACTATACCATTTCGTGATTTTCGCGCCACCACCAAACAATGTCATTGGTTGGAACTCAATCCTCACCCCCGAATGGATGCACCTCACTGGTCACGACTGCTCACTAGAATCCCAGCAACTCTGTCCTGTGGCAAGTCACTAACTTCTTGGGCAATTGAATTGGGTCACAGTGGCTGAATGGTATACGATCTTGTCTTAAAACCGGAAGGTCCTGGATTCGAAACCAAGTGGATGCGTGCTACCGACGAGTCCCAAACTAGGATGAAACAGCTGTCCATTACTCTTTTTTGGTTTTCAATGGTTCACTAACAGTCTGTGGTCTAAATCGAAAAACGAATCAAATCCTTACAAATCAACTCTTGAAAATTATTTATTTTCTTTTAGCTGAGATACATATATATGTATATATAATTTTCACATTTGGTGATATTTCAGAAGCCTGAAACTAAGACGAAACTGCTGTGCAGTGCTCGCGAGGATATTCAATGACTCTTTAACTGATGTTAGTTTGTGACGAAATGAACATTTAAATTGATCAGAATACCTGGATAACCCAAAATCTGGAAAATTATGTGATTCTTCTCCCTTATATTCTATCCCAGTATGAATTGAGAACTTATAGTTAGGTGATTGTTAGTCAGCTAGCATTTCTGTTTGGTGATTCATCTTCACTAGAAGGAATTAGCAGAAGCACAGTGATGTACTATGGTAGGGATTTAAGCATAGGCCGAATAAATTTTCATTTTCTGTCCTTACTACTTATTAGTAACTGATGTTTTGAATATATGTTTTCTAAAATTATTTTTCTTCAACTGCTGGTGATGATGTAAGTTATTGCAAATCGAACTTGCGGCGCTTTCGTCCCAGTGTACTTGTATAGGTAGAACGGAGGTGGTCAGTTGCAACTTGAATTCCCTCAGGTAGTTAATTTTGTTCTTCATCATCGGCTGGCTGGCTCTACACTAATTAATAGTTTTTACATCAAAATGTTTTACCAATCAAATGGTTATTTTAGCTAATCAGTTTTAGGCTTAGGGTGGGGTGGGGTGAAATTTAGAGGTTTAAAGTCATTAAAACAACTCACTAACAGATGTAAGCAACAAGATATCTAAGTTTTGAAGGAGGGGTGAAAATTAATTAATTCAGGAATTCAGGAAAAGTTGATTCTTAGACGTTAGCAACAAGTTATCACCATAATAAAGAAATTTGTAAAACAGCGATGTCAACAGGATTAGCTAGAACTGTAAAAACAATGAGATAAAATTTGAAGATATTTACAAGGGGAAGGGAAAAATCGTTTTAAAAACTTAATACATATTATGTAGTGGGTGGCCATGTCAAAGAAAGGGGCTGTACAAATTCCTTTGAACACACAGATTTGACTTATTCAGATGACTTCTGATTGCCTCTGCTGTATATAAAAGTCGTATTCGTAGACCATGTGAGAGGTTGGGTGGTATTTATCGTATATTACCCATCCTATTGTTCTGAGTCATCATCACTGTTTTACAAATTTCTTTATTATGTAATAACTTGTTGCTAACGACTAAGAATCAACTTATCTTGAATTCCTGAATTAATTAATTTTCACCCCTCCTTCAAAACTTAGATGTCTTGTTGCTTACATCTGTTAGTGAGTTGTTCAAATGAATTTAAACCTCTTAATTTCACAGACACATACACACCCTATGCCTAAAACTGATTAACTAAAATGCCCAGTTGATTGGTTAAACATTTTGATGTAAAAACTAAATATAGTAGTGTAGCGCCAGCCAGACAGTGATGAGGAACTAATCGAAAAAGAAATATATTTCTTCGCTCAATCAGTTGTGTTTTTTTCTAAATGCGTAAATAGGAATTTGGAAGTGAATTTTGTATTATGTGGCTAGAGAAATGCTGCAATCATATCAGATGTTACGTTTTGGCTGTTTTAAAGATGTTGTATGAACTTTTTTACACAACTGCAAAATCTGTTGCACGGTTTGCCACACTATCCACGAAAATACCTCCAAATGGCTTTTATACTAACCCTTAACCACTCATATCTTTAATTCAGTAATGCAGCAAAAATTATGATTGCTAAATGACTAAAACTTTTGTCTTTTATTGCTGCAAATGACGACACTGACAATTATAAATGTTTAATTTAAATCATTTTGTGCAGGTATCCAACTGTTTTTCTGTTGCATTCTAAGTGACAAATAAGGCTTTGAGTCCCGAAGTTTCAATTTTTACGAGCTGGGGTTGCCAACTTCAAGCCCAACCTTCTCCGGTTACTTAACTTACTACTGACTAAATGAGGTTTTATCGTCGCATCATCCAGGAATCGAACCCAGACAACATGAGTGCTTGTTAGGCATTCAACTAATGAGCTACCGACACACTAGATATTCAACTATAGTTAAACTGAATTATATTTTCTTGTCACTTTACCTGAATGGCGAATCCTGTTGATTTTGTCGACAAACTTGTTCACTTAACATTTTTAACATTGATGTCAGATTAGTCAGAAAAGAGAAGCGGTACGTTGAGCACTTCTATCAGCCATCTATTATTATTATTGTTCCCTTAGGTTCCAAGTGGAACATAGGGCTTAAACAACACATCTCCACTCTCTTCTACTTTCTGCCGTCCTCTTCAACTGGCTCTCATCTTCTCCAGCTTGCCACACCATCCCATCCATGTCACTGTCACACCAACGACCCACTCAACACTCCCCATTGGTATTTCACTCGAGCTATGACCTGCATTGAGCACGATGTGGTTCGACGGTATCCTCAACGCATGTCCTATCCACCTCCATTTTCTCCTCTATATTTGTTGAGCAATTGACTCTCGCCTGTTGGTTTGTTCTTCTTGCTAATTCTTTCTGGCCGGCCAGCTGGATGGCCATTTCATCTTCAGTGTGGAGATAGCCAACGAAGTGGACAACTGTTGATGAAAGTCCGAAAACTGTCAGAAACGCTTTTCGTGATGCACTGATCAAGTTTCTGACCCGTATGAAAGAACTGACTGACTGACTTCATACTTGTGTTAAAAATCCGAATCTTGTTCTTGACCGCTGAGTGAAATCACGCTCTGGGCAGGCCGTTGATGGGGGAACTCTTATAAAAAAAGACGAGTTGGTCATGGGAAGTCTGAGGGTATAATGGGGGAAATCGTGTGAGGAGGAAATGGAAGTTCAAGTACAGTCGTGGAGCGAGCTTAAAAAGACTTCAGAAAATAGAGTGAAATGCAGATGTACTTACTGTCCTACCTGGAACCCAAAGGAATAATAATAACTCTGTAAGACTCAGTCGAAACTGTGAGATATCCTGCTACCGGGTAATCACAGTCTCAAACTCATCTCTTTGGAGGTCTTTTAATGAAATTATTCAGTCACTACATACATCTACTTGCTTATTAAGTAACCGTTTCATTTAAAAACTTTTTGATGAGGAAATTAAGTGGATTTCAACCAAAACTAACCTGATTACTTAAATGACTCTTCGTTAAACTAAATTTTTCTCTGTTTGTTTGTTTTTTCACTTTTTCTATCACAGATTTTCAATGGATTTAATATCTGATTATCTAGCCATTGATCCAGGCAGTTTTAATGATCAAAATCGAACAGATGAGTCAGAACTACCTATAGTTGAAACTCAACCATTACAGATATCAATTGAAACCACAGGCAGTTGGGATATTAATGCAAATTCACCAGAGACAAGTACCACATCACACGGAAGTTCAGCTAAACGATTCGGTTTTCGAGTTGATGAGGATTTTGTTTGTAGAGTTGTTATTAAAACAGAGTATTATGTGGTAAGTTCACTGTTCATTAGGTCTTCAGTAAAATGTATATGTGATATTTTTTAACATATTAGTTTCCCTTTATGACTAGATATATTTGAACCTGATTGTCAGTGCAATAGTGAGTGATGCTGTTTCACAATCCCTAACATCAGTGAAGCATACATATTTCTAAGGATTTCCGGTGGTTCACTCAAAAAGTGAACCACCTTCTCATATTCTTTTTTCAGTGGACACCTTCCAGATGTGGTTTATTAGTTCAAAAACTCTCTTCTCATCGGAGCTTGAAGAGGTTTCACTCACATCCTGATGTATCAGCATCTGTATAATTGATGAAGCCTATCTGATTTTTGATGTGTTCGTCTGGTGAAACCGAAGTCATTTTGTGTTTATCCTTGTGTGTTAACACGCTGGCTTCAATCGCCAAATCATTAAATGCCAAGAAGTTTGTTCTTCGTTCTGATTCATTTCACCAAGCACCTATCGACCCACGATGAGTTCTCTTCCTGTGTCACCTGTTACTTTTTCTGCTGGCCTTCATATCACACTAGAATTTCGATGTATCATCTGCTTGTGACCTTGTCTATTATTATTCCCAATTGTCCATAGAACTCCACTTTCTTCTCCAATGGGTCTACGTTGTTTGTATGTGCGTAGGACAGTTGAATGCCACTATCCTTCTTTCGAGTTGAATTCTTTTATCATGATTCTGAAGGAGATTGGTTCCTCATTGTATTGGAGCCTTCTATGCTGTAGGACACAACATCATGACCATACTCTCAGTGAACTAATGATTGTCTTCTGGGCGATCGGAGTTTATTACTGACTATCTAGTTAATAGTCTTGAGGCTCCAATTCCATTCCATTTATTCCCACAGACTCCTAGAACTTTTGTACAATATCTTCCAACTTCTTTTGCTATCTGAGCAGTGTGGATATTCTATGTCTCCGGGTTTACTTTTATTTTCATCGAAGAAAGATATACCTGTCGACTAGCTTCTTGAAGATTTTCACCCAGCAGCACTATTCTTCCGCACCAACTTCATGGGAGAATGATTTTGTTAGTTTTATGTTTTAAAGGTTCACTAGCAATGCGATTGTTTTTTAAGAAGTGCTCCATGCTGAAGATCAAATGGCCAGCCATCTGGCCAGTCAGAAAGAATTAACAACAAGAAACTCCGGCTGGCTGGGAGCGAACCAACAGGCAAGAGCCGATTGCTCAACAAATATGTAGGAGAAAACAGAGAGAGATCGGGCATACTTTGAAGAGGCCGTCGAATGACATCGCGCACCAGGCATACCCTCGAGTGGAATCCCAATGGGAAGCGACGAGTGGATTGTCAGTGTGAGGGTGACATGGAGGAGATCGTGTAGTGAGTTGGAGATGAGAGATTATGTTCAATCGTGGGCACAGCCGAAGAGGATTGAAGAAAATACAAGAGATTGGAGATGTGTTGTTGAAGTCCTATGTTCCTCCCGGAACCCAAGGAAATAAGAATAATAAAGTAGAACTTTGGGGGAGATTATAAGCTATTCAAACTGTCGAGTGGAACCCGAATGACAGATGACGAGTTGGGCATCCGAGGATGGCATCAAGGAGATGTGTAGCCAAAAAATGAAAGCTTATGGGCTACTGTCGAGCCAGCTAAAAACAGACTGCATAGAAATGGAAATATGTTACTGAAGCCCTATGTTTCATTCGGAACCCAAGAGAATAATATATATATATGTATACATTCTACGAATTATTTCTTATTGATCTTCTTTTTCCCTTTTCTTCAGGTTTATTTGAATGATATGATGTTATCCAACTCTGAACATTTAGTCCCTGTTGGATCGATAAATGGTTTCACAATTGACGGTGATTCAATCATTACAACTATACTATTTGGTGATTTAAGCGCTATACAAAAGTACAATTCAAAACATGATGCAAAACTAATTCATTTAAATACACCAAAAATTATTGAATGTCGTCTAACATCTGATGAAGTATTAGCTACTGTATTACACAATGACAACGATGAATATTCTAAGATGGATGAAGAACACAGTCATGGAGGTGTTGGCGGTAAGAGTGACGATGATGTTGAGAACTTCAATAAAATCAATGGTGGCACTGAAGTTGACTTCAGTAGCCGTCAGGAAATTCATTACACTGAGAAACTTACACTATTAGAACAGAATATTCAACAGAACCAAAAGAATCAGCAGAAATATACAGAAAATGCAAAGTCGAATACATCGAATCAACACAATTCAACATTTGCGAAAACCAACAACATTCAACACTTACAAGATTCAAATCATCTGACTAGAGCTTCTTCATATCAATTAGTATTTGATACAGATAGTGATACTAATGAAGAAGAAAATGGCGGAATCGATGAACACAACGGGATATCGCCTTCTCTGAAGACAGATATCAACTTAAGACTATTCAAACAGATAAGAGCTAAAAGTATCCAGAATCTTTTCACTCATCATGAGAATTTAGAGAATTTGCTTAGAATTATTCAAAAACACGAACAAATTAATGACAGTGGCAATTGTAACGCTGATACACTAGATCAATGTTCAATGGTTTCAATATCAAACAAATCATTACCAGAATATAGGGATTACGCGGAAATAATGAATAGCTCAGGTCAGTTATCTAGAAATTACTCTTCATCACAACAGTTAGAACTAGTCAAAGAGGAGTATGAATTAAATGATAATATTGATAAAAATAACTGTGGAATTGATAAGATTCATAAGAATATTAATGTCAAAGAACAAGAGGCAACAGAACTATACGCTCTTGACGACAGTAACTCAAAACAGACGTTAAATCCTGAAGAATTCTTGTCTAATCTTGTTAAGTCAGTAACCGAGTTAACCGAGGAGAAATCAGAAATAAGTGAAAACACAGGAATTGGGTGTGAGAAACAAATTTTAAATATCGATTGTTTAAACAATCCGCCAGAAAAAGAAGAAATCGCTTCTCCTAAATCGACAACATTTAAACAAACAGATAGCATGATAATTGAATCAAAGATACCTGTACTTCGAAATGGTTTATCTAATACATTAAATGATAATTCCAAAGACTTTACAAGTAAGCCTTTCAAATCAGCCTATAAAGGTAGATTCCAATCGCGTGAAACTCATTCTTATCCAGATTATTGTATGCCTTCAAAGTATACAAATACATCAAAGAAACAATCAGTAATCCATTCTAGAATTCCGAAACCACGTTCAATTTCCAGTGGTGTTGTACATCAACAAAATAAACAACTAGTGAATGGTAAGGCGAATTGTCCTCCTACATCGAATTCGAAACCTTCCACTCCTATCACTTCTCCTAGACACATTTCAAACAAAACTTCAGTTAATTCAATATTAAAGTCACAGATTAAAAATGGTTTAGAAGAAAACACTGTCTATAAAAATGGAATTAATGAAAACCACTCTGTAGTGAATAAAAGATCCCCTAGAACTACACCTAAAGATACTACACCAGTTAACGGATATAAATATGGCAGAGAGATTAACAAAAGGCGATCTTTTGAACAGTCTCCAATCAAATCTGGATCATTGTCACCATCATCTTGTTCATCGTTGTCATCATCAACGATTTCATCACCTTCGCCAACAAAACCACCAATAAACTCTGACAGATTAGAAAGTGATAAAAAGGCAAAACCAAGAGAAGAACAAACAGCGTCAATAAACTCAACAACAACAAGTCTTACACTGACAAATGGACATGCTAAACCACTAGAAAAGCCAATATCAAATGACAATCTACAAAAAGTGATCTTAAATCAATCGAAAGTAAATCAACAGTGTAATTTAATTAGCCAGTGGAATGTTACATCCACTACGAAATTAAGAGAAAGGGATCCAATTATCTTATCAAATGGACTACATAATCACCATAGCATACCGCTTTCACACCAACCATTAAGTGAAAATAAGCATATTTTAAACAATGTAAATAATATCACAACCAATAACCATAACACTAAAACCGAGATATTAAAGAGCGATGTAAAACAAGACAAAGAATTGACAAATGAACAGTCAACATTCAATGTTCAATCTAATAATTATACAGATTGTTTAAATGATACTAAAAAGCAATTAAATGAAAATGGCGCTGTGAAGTCCAACCCAACACCGGAAGTGGATGAAATTAAAAAAGATACAATGAATTGTTATGCGAAACCTACACAGAATGGCTTTACAAATGGTAACAATACTGATAATAGCGTTAGTAACCATGGTAACATCCAGCTAAATTTGAAAGAAAATGATTATTTTAATTCGCTACCAGATAACAAATTACTCTCAACGTCGATATCATTATCGCCGTCAGTATCATCCCAATCAGCCACATGCTTATCAATGACTAGTCCAATAGATACGCTAACCACCTCCATGACGTCTATAACAACCGACTCGATCAAAAATGGTTTCCAACATGAAAAGATGAAAAATTCTACAAAGTTTATACAATCCCCGAAGAAATGGTTAACGCGTAAGTTGTCTATGTTGAAAAAGCATTAAACTACAACATAAAATTATCATATAACTTGTAAACATTACTTACACGCATACAAATGCTCCAAAACTCAAAACGATGTTTATCGAATAAAACAGTTAAACTACTTAAGCATTGATATTTGGTTAAATGTGATATGTACACAGAAACAATTACATTAAGTCTTTCATCATACTACTGTCTACTCACATCTGAGTATTCTTCAGTCAGTCATCCAATCATCTCCCTCCCCTCACCTAACTCTACTCCACTCCACTCCACTTTACACATATATGCATGCATAACTTAACAGTTTTCATATAAAAATCGTCATGTTGAGCGTTACTCTACGACGCGAAACTGTAAACATTTATTGCTTTCAGCCATTTTTTATGCATGCCTATAGGTTCACATTTATTTTTAAGTTTAATAAAGTTGTCTTTACAAGTGAATACGAATGATGAATTAGATTTTGATATTTAGATGTATTAACAATCATAAAATGCAGGCCAAACATATGGAAGATATTCTTGCCAATGACTGTGGTTTCGTATTTCTATGTGATGCTAAATAGCAACTTATTATGCACATTGTTATTATTATTCTCTTGGGTTCCGAGTAAAACATAACGCGTCAGCACCACATCTTCATGTCATCCTGTTCACTGAAGTCGTTTTTACCTGACTCTGCGATTGCTCATAGAAGCTCATTTCCTCCTTATACGACTTCCTCCGTGTTAACCTCGAACTAACGCCGAAATCGTAGTTTCCCACTCGGGTTCCACTCAAGGACCTGTCTGGTGTGTGATGTAACTCAACAGTCTCCACAGAATATGTCCGATGTATCTCTCCATTTCCTTCTGCATATTTTTGGGTGATAGGTTCCTAGTTGGTTAGTTGCCTGATAAGCTTCTTTGTAGCTTATCCTTTCTGGCCACCCGGTCTCCAGTATGGAGCCAGTGGGAGTCAAATGTTGATGAAAGTGTAGAGGAACCTATTTCAAATGTTCTTCATGATGCGCTTGCCAGGTCCGTGGACGATTTAAAAGCACTAACTAACTTGACATTGGTGGTGAAAATCCGAATCTTGTATATTATGCCAAGTGAAGCAGATTTCCTTAAATTCTCAGTGGAACACAGAGCTTCAACGGCACATCTTCATTGAGCTAGATTCTTTGTCATATCCATACCACCTTCAGAACATCGCCCAACTCGCCGCTTCTAATTCGGCTTCCACTCATATATATATATATAGTTTTGTATTTATTTCTCTACGTCCCCAGTGGAACACAGGGATTCAAGCAGTGATGTTTTCTTTTATGGGGTGGGTTTGCTAGCCTCACGTCCAACCTTCCGCCTTTGTTGAGCTTACCACCAACTAATGAAGGTAAAGGTGTGCACCGGATGGGGATCCAACCCTGGATCACATGTATTTTTGGCCAGCATCCTACCGCGAAAATTTTAGTTTCGTTGTATATAAATGAAATGCAGTTTAATGGCATAACTAATCTCACTTCAAGAAATTTATATCCTAAACACTATAGTTTTTGAAAACATGTTAAACTGAGGCTACTTATTAAATAGTACTACACAGGAGCATTCGAACAATAATAAAGCAAAACAAAACTAGCACATTACGTGCTACTTGTGTAATGACAGAAGACACGGGACAGGCGACAGATCGTTTGTTGAGACAATCAACATTTATTTATAGATTTTTATGTACATTATTGTCAGTGGAGAAGTAACGTCTACTGATTGGTTGTTTTCTTGCTGAAAGATATTCTGTGCTGCTTGTGACCGTTTCTCAGAAAGCTAAGCCATATATCTGCAAATCCTGTTTGCACATATTAAGTTCGCTGTGATTAGCTGGTGAGTTCCTCAGCGTTAAGCTTTGTTATTGTATTTTCTCATGACCTTGATTTGGAACCTAAACATTGACGTTAATTGTTGTCTACAATTTTAGCTTGTTCGCAGACAGCTCTCACCACACTTGAACCCTACGTCTTTCACAGATCCACCGAAAGTTTACTCTTTAATTTATTTTTATTCCTTTACGTTCCCAGTGGAACATAGGGCTTCAAGCTATAGCTTTGAAGTCTCGGTAGCAATGGTGCTTATTTTTATTTTATTTTCCAAGCACAACCTTCCCTCTTTACCGGTTTTTTCATCGGTTTACCAAGGTTTAGGAGTACTTCGGACCGGGAACCGAACTCCAGATCAAATAAGTGGTTAGCCAGCATTCTACCTCAGAATCGCCGACGCTTCCATAAATTTCCTTGGTGGAAACTCATACAAATATGCATGGGTTCAGCTACACAATAATAACGTATAATAAGATTCTAGGGAAGAAGAAGAATAAGGGTAAAGTCGTTCAGAAAATTCAAATCGGTTTCATACCATATTACTTCTGTAACAACAGAAGACAAGGGCCAGGCAACAGATCGTTTATTAAGGAAAATCAACACATATTTATAGAATTTTATGTACATTATTGTAGATTATTGTTAGTAGAAAATACAGTCTTTTGACTGGTTTTTTCTCACAGAAAGTTAACCTTGTATCTCTTTGTGGCTGTGTCAGATCATCCATATGCTAACTGTATCCGCCTACGCAAAGCCTTTGTTCTCATTTTCTCACCACCAATATTGGGGACATAAATATTAACGTCAATTACTATCTACCAACTTTGGCTAGCAGCCAGCTCTCACCACACTTCTAGTTCAAACCCGCTTATCCTCTTCACTGCTCATGAACACTGACTGACGTAAGACATTCCACATTGCAAACATGTAAATGACTTCAGCTTGTGTTTTCTTCGGATATATTCAGTTTAGATTAAGAGGCAAGCACTGGGTATGCGTTTCCAAACAACCTGAGATCCAATAACTAGTCTACTACCTCGCAGTTCTTAATGAAAAATCATACCAAGCATCAACGTTGGAAACTTGTAGTTGCATTATACAGCAACAATTTGGAGAAATTTAAAATTCCACATGTATAAGGTGTGGGCAACCTGCTTTGACTACTGGGTCACCTGAATTTCTATTTCTATTCCATTATGTCCTTTAGTCGTGAAATGTACTCAAGCACATTTTTTAATTGGCTTTCAGTCTACTAATATACATTTCTTGAAGACGAAAGAAGGACATCACAAGGGATTAGTTTGTGATTCAGATAGAACAGCATTGCGCCATATGACATAGTAAAGATTGGTATTTTAATTGAAGATCGTTTGTGAGAAAAAAAGATTATGCGACAAATTGAGCTGAGAATTTTGTAAATTGTGTAGACATTCTGTCCAGAATAAAACTGTTTGTATTTTTAGTGGCCATGATTCATGACCGTAGAATAAAGTAAATTATGGAATGCATTCCGACTGCAGATGGATGTTTGAGTATCTAACTCTAATAATGTTTTAGATTATTAAGTATCTGCCTAGCTGTACTGATATTCCTTTGATAATTGGGACAATAGAACTGTGAACATAAAGGAAGTAGTTATTACATGAACACAACAGTTTACCCTTTCCTTTATTACCGGAATCTATCCTTTATCTGTATGCTTTGCGTACCAAGTGGAGCATAGGACTTCAAGCTTGGGCTTGGAAGTTTCAGCAACACTGGTTTTATTTACTTTTTACAGGTTGGGATTGCTAGCCTCACGCCCAACCTTCCCTCTTTGCCGGACTTACCACCAGCTAAGAGGGGTTTAGGAGTGCGCCGCCTGAGGACCAAACTCTGGACCATAATATGCGTGGTTTAGAAGCATCCTATCGCTGCACCAACGATGCCTAGAATGGTTATTAATGATATATGAATGGTGAATCATGTCATGTACTACTGACCGAGTAGTATGCTTATCGAATGGGTCTAAATACTTAGCCACCATTTCCCTCGTCATCAGTGTAAACATACTGCAGAATGAGTTCAAACCACCTAAGTGAGTGGTATTCAACCACTTGATCGTCGGTTTTTGTGGTATTTAACAAGTTGCATAATGTTTGTGATCTGAATAATTTCAATTTCCGTAAGATGCACTGTAGGGAAATTTCACCTTGAATTGTGTAAAGTGTAAATTGTGAATTCGATAAATCGTTAACGAGAACTAGCGGGAATATCATAGTATCAGTAAGGTTCAAAGCTCAAGGTAGAGCAAACAAGTGCCGTTTATTTGGTGGTTGGTGAGTAGCAGCGGAATCCAGGAGAACGTGTATTTCATCCAAGATTTGGAACTTGTTATCTGAATGCACTTGCATTTCCCAGAGAGTGATAGTATTCCCACTGACGCTCGAAACCAGTATCCAGAGTTTCAAATGCCAAAGCCTTATCTACTAGACTGCCTGGGCCGCGATCGTCAGCCACCTCAGTTTTTATTTAATCCTATTTGAAATTTCCTGTTGATTGATTGGAGCAAAATGCTCGACCGAGCTCTGTCATTTATATTCTGTTCAACAGATTTCCTTCTTAGTACAATAACAGATAAAAACTTGATGCTAACCACTGTTCAGTACAACACATAACAAGCGAGCGCTCCTCATATCTACTTCTAACCATACATTTATTTTACACAGTTATCTAATTGGACCTCACTCCAGGAAGCTCCAACCTGTAGCAAGTCACTAGCGAGCATCAGATAAATTTTCTATAGTTTTGGTTTGTAAGGATTAGTTATGTTTTACCAGTTGATCACGGACTGATATCAGTTAGAGAACCATTGAAAACCAGGGAGTATTGGACAGCTGCTGTTTCATCCTAGTTTGGGAATCATCGGCAGTACGCACCCACTGGGATTCGAACCCAGGACCTTCCGGTTATAAGGCAAGCTAGTTCGTATACCATTCAGCCACTGGGATCCGATTCAATGGTTCATGAATTCTAACTTCTACCAATTCGTGATTTTAGCGCGACCCCAACCATTGTCGTTGGTGGGAAATCCATCCTCACACGTGACATCTGGATGGACCTCACTGGTCACGATTTCTCACTAGAAACAGCAGCTGTCCAGTACTCCCTGGTTTTCAATGGTTCTCTAACTGATATCAGTCCGTGATCAACTCATAAAACATAACTAATCCTTACAAACCAAACTATAGAAAATTATTCTGATGCTCGCTAGTGACTTGCTACAGGTTGGAGCTTCCTGGAGTTCTAGTGAGAAGTCGTGACCAGTGAGGTCCAATTAGAAGTCACGTGTGTGGATGGATTACACAATTATGTTATAAAAAAGTAGGCAAATATTAATCAAAGAGATATTTATACGAAAGATGAATTTCGACATCGATCATCTATTTTTCTCAAAATTCTTTGCCTTTTTTTTATTTATGCATTCTTTCTTATTATGATAGCATGAAGCAACTCAACAATCACAGTCACAAACTAGTTCAACATATAGTCACAATACTGTCGACACCACAGACACGACACACATACACACATATTGCACATGAAGAAAAAAATTAACTACAAGATCAGTCAGTCGCCATATCATCAAAATAACCAAAATATCACCAACCGTCAACAGCAACTTCAACGGAATCTTAGAGATTTTCAATTAATTAACAGACTGTAATTAAACACTTTCCTTTGTTTTATATTATTCATTATTACCCCTTTAATTTTCAATCACTAGATCGCCAAATAATCAATACAAAAGAACAATGAGAAGAACTTTTGAAGACAAGGAATAAATAAACAAATAAATAAATATAATACTCATTAGTACATCGAAATTATTTAAAATTTCTCCAATCGATATGATTACTATTTTCATTTAAAACAAAAAGGAAAAGAAAAGAGAATTGCATGCTTACAATTCAGTTACTTCGCCACTTTTTTTTCTTTTTTTAAAAAAATTGTGCACATTTCAATAAAAATAACAATCAACCAATCAGTGTAATTTTCATTCCTATTTGCTCAATGCTCAATTGTTTCAATTGTTTTAATCGTGTATTTGCCTAAGCTTATAATATGTGTAAATTTAAATCAATATATGTAAAGATATTTTTTACCGAACATAAAGCTAGATTAAATTTATATATTGTATTCAGGTTGTTTGTTTGAAGCATTCCTACCGCCAATTTAACTTTTTATTTCAGATATAGTGTATTCTTGTATTATTCTTGCTTCGTTATTTGAAATATATATACATGTATGCATATATATACATGACTACTTAAATATATTTTTCAGTAGTTTCTTAGCTGAAGTTTTGCTTATAAGTATCAAAAATCCGGTAAGGTATTTTAGTCAAGTCTGCCGGCTTAAAAAAATACTCCACACTTATAATTTGTTTCTTCAGATAAGCTGGTTAGTGTGAGCCTTTAGGCAGCGGAGTATGTTATTGACTTTGCACTGATGGTTCCGCAGTAATTCTGCTTATTTGATGTATTGGTTTTTGTAAGGATTTTGTTTGATCGGATGGAGGATTTCATCATGAGCTGATATAAGTTAGAGAACCTCTGGAAAACCTGTCCATATTTGATATGGCGAAACTATTCATTCAGACATCTATAAAACACAAAATAATTGAGCAAAGAATATCCTTTTCGATAAATTCTTCTTCTGGCTCTACAATTATATATATATGTTTATATACATAGAATGAGTGAAAATGGTTATCCAGAAAGGTTCATTGATAAGAATATGAACCTAAAATCAAAGCAGCCCAAGGTAGCAACTGGCTGGCTGGCTGGATTCAGCATAGAACTTGGCACCGAAGTGCAGCAGTTTGAGTTGCCACGTTCCAAGTAGCACACAAAGGTAGACAAGAAAATGAGTGAAGAGAATCAATAGAGTTTTGACAAGTATAAGAGTGAAACAGAATGAGTAGTGGTAGAAAGGAATATGAAAGATTACACAAGAGACTGAATACATCTGCGCCATTGACAACGATTTTGAGCCATGTCACCTATTGTCTCCAGACAAGGTACCAACAGTTCCTAAAAAGGCCTTATTCTTACAAATGCAGTTCCTTGGGGACAACATCAGCGAGATACTAACACAACGCCTTAGAAATGCGGTAAAATGGGCATTCCCTGATGCCAAATTACGCTGTGTCTTCAAAACCACTCCTCTTTTGCTTTCGGGAGTAAAAGACAAACTGCCTAATTTCGCCTCTTCCATGTGTATCTACCAGTTTAACTGCTCCTGTGGAGCCAGTTACGTAGGCCGTATAATTAGGCGTGTTTCTCGTCGGAGATCCGAACATCACCCTGTGTGGTTAGGCAAAGGAAAAACAAAATCTATTCGCAGCGCTATTCTATCTGATCTTGTGATTAAAGAACACAAAACCGATGTTAACGAGGCGGCTTTCAAAGTCATTTACCGCACACCAACAAGTCTCAATTTCGCCTTAAGAGTTCGACTACTGAATATTTCTGAGGCTGTTGGTATCCATATTAACAAGTCTAATTTGTGCATTCAAAAGAAGTTATTTCAAACATTATCCTTACCTTGGCCATCTAGCTTCGAATGATCCTCAGTTTTCTGTAGAAATTTCCTTAATTTAGTTGATATTCTATGTGCTATTATATATTTATTATTATTATAATTTAAGCATTTTTAATGAACTGTAATTACATTGTGATCTTCCTTAACAAGTCGATATTAATTTTTTAAATACCCTAATACTGTTAATGACTACTATTCAAGAATATTCTATGTATATGAACATTTATATAAATGTACAGCCAGAAGAGGAATTTGTCGAAAAGGATATTCTTTGCTCAATTATTTTGTGTCATATTTGATATATCACATAGTGAAACAGTGTTATTTTTTGGATGACGAAGTTTCGAACACACTGTATTACTCATAATCATATGAATCGTAACTTCAAAACTTCGTTTCTATAGTTCTCTTTATTCCTTCCCATTCTTTAGAGTAGTAGTAGAATTTTCTAGATTTCTGGGTGGACAGGTGTCGGATTGTTATTATTGCACGTATTCGTAGTTGATTCAGTAAATGAAGCTTCTGTTATCAAACTCTCCCTCCACCCGGTTATATCACGTTTAAAGACTGTCATTTAGCTTAGCTATTGTTGTTTTTCGGATTCCTTATCTTATTAAGGTCAGCTAACCTAGATTTTGCTATTTTTTTGTCCTGCTTCACTAGTCTGACTGACTCCATCCTATTACTCTGACCAGATAGCCATTGCAGGGTATTAGATAAACTAAATTATTTTGTCTAATGGGCTCCACAGAATCCTTTAACTGACAAAGTTTGTTTCTAAGTGAGTTTTTGGGGGTTTGAATTCCAACTTTATTCCTACTTTGTTAGGCATTTGACGTAAAGTTTCAAAAGTCCCTTCTTAGTATAAAAACACAACTGATAACTTAAATTCCCTACTGTTAGTGATGTCACGTATGTCGTCCTTATTATCATTATTTAAACTATGCCACTTTGGTTAATTTCAGGTGTTAGATGTCATCAAGAACCAACATTATTTACAGAGATGACTGACAGATCACTGGACAGCTGTCGCGTCCTATTTTTGAGATTCCTAAACAATACACACCCACCACCCCACTAGGAATCAAACCTGGAACCTTCAGCTTACAAGACCAAGCTTGTTGATCACTCAGCCACTTTGGCCAGAACTCAATGACCCATCAATGCTAACTTCGCTCTCTCTCCCAACCAATGCCTTCCATGAGCGCCCACTCCATCTTGAATTGGTGGCCTTTAACAGTCACGGCTTTTCACTACACCTTCAGGAAATCCATCCAGTAGACATCAACAAACTGGAGATTGATCTTTAGATTATGGGATTTGTGTGGAATTGGATTTCGAAGACACCCAAAAATATAGAACGGAACAGCTATCCATTGGTCCCTGGCTTTCATTGATCTCTCTGACTGATGTCGGTTCCCACATATCTCATGATTATCGATCCAGGAAATCATACTGATTCACTGTGTGATATGTTCAATAAACGAGTTAACTTTCAAGAGTTTGTTTATAGGGATTTTATTTGTCTCAAGTGTGGTCATGGATTGATATCAGTTAGAAAACCAATGAAAACAATTAGAGAGTACACAGTAGCTGTTTCGTCCAATTTTGGGAATCATCATCAGTATGCACCAAATAGGTTTTGCCCCTAGGATCTTTTCGTTACAATGCAAGCTCGTAGACCATTCGGCCACTGGAACCCAACTTAATGGCCCATGAATTTTCAGAAGGCCCTGGGTTCGAGACCCGTCTGACGCGTACTGCCGATGAGTCCCAAACTGGGAAGAAACAGTTGTCCAGTACTCCCTGGTAGTTTTCAATGGTTCTCAAACTGATATCAATCTGTGGTCAAACTTGAAAAATCAGTATTTAATGAATGCATAAATTTCGGTAAAAGGACTCATCAGCTGGACACTTCTCTGCAAACATTGTTATTTATGTTATCTCCTTTTAAGGTTAAACAGATACAGCAACATCACACATTGTTACAACAAATAAGTATCAATTTGAACAAATATATATGTGATCTATAAGTGATGAGTGATATTCTGTTAACGTCATTATTCAATGAATAACGTTCACCTAAGCACATATTAACTTACTAACAACTCCAAAGACGACTACTTGCTTCATATAATATTAAAGTTTATTTCAAACCCTCTAATTCTCTAGAGAAAGCCTTGGTGAATGTCAAAGATATGGTCCCCAAAATGTCACAAAGTTATTGTGTCTATAGGATAAAATGTTCAGAATGTGAAGCTTGCTACATAGGGGGGAGTAGTAGACAGGTGAAGGTCAGGGTAAATGAACATAGACTGTACACGAAACGTCCACCTAGAAATAAAGTATAATTAAAAAGTCTAGAAAGTAGATCAGACAGTCCAATGCATGCTATAGACAGAGGGTATAAGATCGATTTCGACAATGTCAAATTTCTAGGAAGAGGCTTTCATTTACGTGAAGAAAGGTTGACCTCTGAAGCCTTGCACATGTTAACCACATCGAATGCAGTACATAGGAGAGAAGGGATAGACTTATCACCTATACGGCAAACCCTAATGAAGTCAGACAGATGAGAGAGAAAAACAAAGTCAATCCCGTATTATAACCACTGTGAAATATTATCATGTTTAGAGGTATTTTCCACATAACAAATAACATACAAACACACACACACTCATACAGAAAAATAAGCGCATATGACAATTTGAAATTAGTCATTACAAATATGTGATGATGACTGCTTACATATTTCTACTGGTACAAATGTCGACTGACAAGTGACCTTCAAAGGAATTGACTTCAATTGATGTAAAAAAAAATTTTGATTGTATATTTTGATGATTAATAAAATCCGAATAATTCTGCTGAAGAAGCTTTGGCAGCTTACACAGCGAAATGCTGAGAAAAATCTTTGGTTGATTTTTCTTCTTAAACACTCTAGGATTATTTACAATAATAATAATAATAATAATTTGCTTTATTCCAAAACAGTACTTGTGATACAGAATGGAATTCTCAGCATTTTTACTACAGTATTGCATCCAGTTAGTACATTATCAATAAATAGAATTCTACATAGATTAAGGAAACCACAGTTTATTATTACAACAATACATTGGCATGCCGGTAGCAAAGGTAAAGCTGAAACAGTGTTTGAAGGTGTTAGAGAAGTGGGAACTGTCTTATTAACTGGCGTAAGCGAGAGAAAGAAACAAAGCAGCACATAACGGAAAGAGAAGAGAGAGAAAATGAAAAGAAAGAAAGAAAATGTTGTACCTATTGATGTTGTGAGTTGGAAAGACGAGATCCAGTTGTACTACTGACTATTTAATGAATTATAGGTGTCACGCCTAATGCTTTCTTTATCCCACAGAACACGAGCTAAGTAGGGTATAGTTGAGTTTTTGTACTTGCTGGTGCGAGCATATAGTTTTCTATATTGGCTTCTGGTTTTACCTGATGATCAAATGGTCTTAAACTAAATCCAACTAAATGTAATACAGTTGATTTCAGCTTGAGAAGTGAAAAAGACATGCATGGATTGATCCAATCTCATGATTGTTGTAATATTGACGGTACCATGATAGAGAGTAAGTCAAGTGTTTCTTATCTTGGCATCAGTTTCTCTTCAAACCTTTGCTGGTCGTCTCACATTCTTA